GCGCCCCGTCCGCCCGCCAGAATGAGCTTCCTCTTGTGAGTGGGGCGGGGGCGGCCCTTGGCGGGGGATGAGGAGCTGGGGGGAGCCGTGACGTCAAGCGCGCGCGGTGGGCTGTGACGTCTGGCGGATCCCGGCGGGGAGCCTGGGGCGACCCCGGGGAGGCCGGGCGCGGTGCTGGGCTCGTGGGATTGGTGCTGCTCGGAGCGGCAGGTGAGGGCCCTGCCGAGCCTGGATAGTGGTGATGGCGCCCTGGGGCCCCCGGGTCTGCCTGGCCTGTGGTAGGGCTGGGCAAAGCCTTGTGCTGCAAACTCTCACGATCCGTGATGTGGTTCTTAGAGCCGGCGCTTTGGGAATGTGAAAAACGTCCCCTTTTCTTTTATATGTGCGCATGTGTATATACATATATAAAAATATAAATACAAATGCATACAGGTTTCCCCTGCTTTATGCTGTGCATGCGTTCCTGGAAAATGGCGCATAACTTGAATTTGCATGAAGGGATCCCACTTTTCAAGGCAACAAGTAGGGGTAGGGAGACGTTCCTGGACCTCGCCTGTGCTGGCCCCCAGACCCATTTCTACCATTTCACAGGGCAGTTTTGGTGCTCGCCCACGGCAGACAGTACATGCGAGCACAGCGTGGTGGTGAATGTTACCATCATGGGGATGGCAACCACAGAAACACGTGTCGCAGACAACGAGCAAGGAGCACAGATCCACACGCAAGACCATATTTTGATGCGTGTCGCTCCCACAATGCACCGCGCAAAGCAGCCGACTGCGGGCTTCCCCTACGCCGATCACATAAGAGCATATAACGAATTTTTGGTCTGAAACGGGTCATCGCATAAGAGCGAATTCACACATACATACACAACCCACATAAAACAAGGGAAACCTGTCTAAAAGAAAGAGCTGAAGTGTTCCCATTCTCAAAGCATAGACTTTAAGAATCATGCCAAAACTCATGAGAGTTGGCACGCTGAGTAGTGCTGTGCAGAAGTGGGAGAGTGGCCGCATCTGGGACAGTTCGCGAAGAGGCTGATCCTGGCTCAGGCAGAAGGTGGGAGGCGGTGACTTTGCAGCTTCTAGCCCCTCTGTCTAGGAGTCAGTGTTTCCATGGGGTCTGTGACAGCAGCAGCAGGGTCATGGAGACCCTCCATGTCAGGAGACGTGGGGCTGACGGTGATGCACGCTGCAAAGGGGCAGGCGGCCCTCAGGTGCTGGGTAGGTTGTGGGGGGAAGACAGTAAGAAGAAGGCCTGGCCCCCCAGCAACAGGTGGGTGGTGGCGGGGTTGGGGTGTCCAGGGTCAGGGTGTCAGTGCCCCGTGGTATAAAGGAGCTGTGGGATCCGGGTGTGGGGTGTGATCTGGGCGGAAGAGATTGTGGAGAGTAGCAGGGCCCCTGTGAGGCAGCAGCTGGGAGCACGGGGAGGCAAAGGGAAGTGTGCAAGCCAGGGAGGAAGTGTAAGGGTTCCTCATGGGAGGCCAGCGGAAGCCGTGAGCCGAGGCAGCAGGGTGGGGGTTGTGGTGGTGGGGGCCCTCTCTGGTCCAGGGGCTGAGCTGCTGAGTGTTGCAGGAGAGGGCAACCCCTTATTTGTGAGGGGGTGTCAGGGGAGGGAAGGGAAACTCTTGCAGGGGGCAGCGGCGTGCAGCAGCCAGGGTTGAGGCTGAGGCTTCTGAGTCGGTGTGGGCTTCTGGGTTTGGTGCGCGGGGGTGTGAGGGATGGAGGTGCACGCTATCTGGCAGATGGAGGGAGCTATATGTAGGTGTGAAAGTTGCAAAGGCAGTGGGATCTGTGGTCATGTAGCCCTGGCCTGAAGCAGGCAACCAATATGATGCAGGCATGAGGCAAGAATGCTGCATGTGTGTGCACATGCTAGCAGCCTTGTGTCTGCAGTTGCAAAGCATGTGCACTAAGTGCCTGTGGTTCCAGCAAAGAAGCAGTGCAAATTATTGTCAGGTTGTCTGTATTGCTATTGGGAGCATGGCTTCATTGCCCTCCAGAGACTGGAGGGATCTTTCATTGCATAGTTGAGACGTGGAAGGGAAGACGTGGGGCCCTGACTCAGCTGCTGCCTGGGGTGGGGGATCCTGTCATCCTGGCGACCGCAGGGAGACCACTTCCCGAAAGAAGCCAAAGGAGAGAGGCAGAAAGTCCGCCCTGGAGAGAGGAGGTGGCAGGGGTGGGACGTGGGGCCGTAGCAAGTAGTGTCCCAGGCTGCTGCAGGTTGAAACTTTAGGGTAGTATTTGGGGAAGTGAATACCCTACAGGCTGGAGAGGGTGGGTCCCAGGTGGTGTCTTGGTGGGTTTCTCTTGATCTGTAGCAGTGGCATTTGTTGTCCTTGGTGCTGTCTCTGTCCTGCCATCCCTGGCCTCCTGCTGCCAAGGTGGAGTGTAGGTGTTCAAAGAGGACTGGGAGCAGGGTGTGAGGGAAGGGCTGTCCTCTAAGTACCTGGATGTAGCAGTTTTCTCTGTCATGGGAAGTGTATTTCTGGGTGTGTCAGGCACTGGGGATGTGCAGGGAGCCTGGCCCCGTGGTTGGCTTTGCATCAGCACATGGCAAATGGCCGGTACAAGAGAGCAGTTCGTGTGGCACCTGTGCTGGAGAAGGAGAGACCCAGTGGTGGCGGGAAGCTGGGACTCAGCATCCTCTAGCTGCAGCAGGTGGAAACTGGCAGTCCAGACTTGTGAAAGGGGAGTGGTTCTGGGCACCCAATTCGGCACGTTCTGGAGCCCACTGAAAGCATAAGCATGGCCAGACGCACCAAGGGCTACATGGCGGTGGATGTTTTGTTTATGCAGGATGGAGCAAGGGTGGCCAACATTTGGCACAGGCCAAAACTGGCTTGGGTGGGGCACGTAGACAATCGGGGAGGGAGTGAGGAGCACAGCAGGAGACAGAGGGCAGACAGACCAGCAGCAAACGGGACAGGAAGCAGTGTAGGGCCAGGAGCCAGAAAAGGCAAGTGGCAGGTCAGGCAGGGGAAGCGGAGCGGAGCAGCTCTCAGGGAGGGCGCTGTGCTAACTGGTGCCGCGGTGAGCCCAAAGGTTGGCTCTCAGGTGTCCAGAGCGTCTGGAAAATGACATAGTCGCTCCTGTGCCAGATGTTACGCGTAGTATCAGGGGGGTGGTGTCGAGGCAGGGAAGGAGGTCGGCTGCATGGCAGGTGTCTGGAAAACTCAGGCCAGCGTATGGGGCAAACAGATAACTGTGTAGCGAGAAGAGAAAGTAACTGGAGGGAAGCCTAGGGGCAGCGGCAGAGGCAGTGCTGTGGGAAAGGGATCGTGCAGGACAGCCAAAGCAGTTCTTTGGCTTTCTTCCCTCAGTGGCAGCCGGTCATCAAAAACCTTCAAACCCAAGAAGAACATTCCCGAAGGCTCCCATCAGTACGAGCTCCTGAAACATGCCGAGGCGACCTTGGGAAGCGGGAACCTTAGACAAGCCGTGATGTTACCTGAGGGAGAGGACCTGAATGAATGGATCGCTGTCAATAGTAAGTACAAGGTGGAACGAGCTTGCCCGGGCGCTCGGGGGGTGGAAACGGGCACATGTGCTTGAGTTGGGGACATTGCTGGCAACCACCTGGCAAGTGCCTGGGTGGGTCAGAGCGAGGCGAGAGCAGCCCGAGCAAGGCAACAGCTGGTCAGCCTGACTGGCAGCCCTGCAAACAAACTCTTCCCATGCATCCTGGGCGCATGTCAGGCAGCCAGCAGGGTCAGGAAGAGGAAGTTGGCCATGTTGCGGCTGGCTTGGAAGGCGTGCAGATTTGGAGAAGAGTGCAAGAAAGGGCCCCAGTTGCTGTCATGAAAAAGGATGCTGCCCTTTTGGGTGTGAGGAAGCCTGGGCTGGTGAAGTCTAGGAAAGAACGCCTGCCAGGCCGGCCCTGCTCCTTGTACAGGTAGTTCTGTGCGGACTATCTCGGAGGAGCAGGCAGGTGGTACTTGGCTCAGGCTGGCCAGAATGTGAGCAAGGAGCCAAAGTTTCCGGTCACCCGCATCTCAGTGGGAGGCGCGAGGCATGGTGAAGTGACGGTAGCTGACTGAGTGAGGCCATGGTGTCGCTGTATACGTGTTCAAGAAATAGGGACTCTGGAGAGGCTGATGTGGGGTCAGAACAAACACCCTGTGTCTGAGACTGGGAAGGGCTGGTGCTAAGGGTGAAGCATGTATCAATGTGCCACATGGTGCCTGGTCTCAGGGTGTTATGTGGCAGGCTACCTTGAAGTAGCCTTGCCCCAATGGTGCCAAGCCAAAGACAAGGCTGTTTGGTGCCTGTAGGAGAATATAGGAAATCTGCCAAAGTGCCAGAGGCACTCTGTGGTGCAAGTGGAGCCTGTGGGCCAGGGGATAATCTATGGAGGCCTCCTCCAGGGGTGTCTGTCAGGTATGGGAATGGAGCGAGAGTTGATGCAGGAGCAGGAGAGCCTTTCCTCCAAGGTGGAGCCTGCCTGGGTTGTCCCCAAAAAGCCAAAACTGCAGTAGTGATGGTGGGTTGCTCCCTAATTGGGAGCTCCCCCACCAGAAGGGACAGCATGACTGATTGTCTGCCAGAGTCACATGGACCTCTCACAGTGGGTCTGTTGTCTTTGCAGCTGTGGATTTCTTCAACCAGATCAACATGTTGTATGGGACCATCACTGAGTTCTGCACAGAGGCGAGCTGTCCCGTGATGTCTGCTGGGCCGAGGTAGGAATTGTACTGTGGGTAACTGAGCACAATTTGCTGGGGGGAGGGCACGTGTCTGGGAGGCTGTGCTGCAGTGTCCCGCGGGGGTATGCTTCTTGCAGGGTGCACGTGCCGGGCAGTGTAGAGGTGGACAGCAAGGAGCTGTTGTAATGCTGGGGGGCAGCGTGACATCAGGCAAGCTGGATTCTGGATGACATGATGCTGAGTATGTGGGAGAGTAGCAGGAGGTGGGTGGGTCCTGTGAGCGAGCTGGAGAACATGCAGTCCTCTGGGTGCTTCCTACTCACAGAGCAGGGCAAATGGGCTGTCCATGAGTTGATGCTCTGCAGTAAGTGTGACTTGGGCAGAAGGGCTGTGGGGAGTAGCAGTGGCCAGAGGCTTTGCACGGGAATAGCAGTGAGCGCTCTGGGCAGAAAAAGGGTCTGTCTGTAGCATGCAGTGCAGGTTGATAGGCCAAATGTAGGAGTTGGGGAAGGGCCTTTCTGGTCCAGGGCCAAGAGCAGCAGGGTCCTGGAGTCTGGGGTGTGAAGACAGCCAAGAGTGATGGGTATGGATGAGCAGGCTGGAGGCAGGGTGCCTGGCCCTCCAGAACAACTCCTGCGTGAGGCTGCTCAGGACATGCAAGAGCACGTGCCCCAGGAGGAGGCAACACACTATCATGAGGCTGGGACAGGCTCGTGGCTGCAGTTGCATCAGCCCAGAAGATGCGTGTATCCGTGACCTGCTGGGCGAAACTGAAAGAGGTGTGGCACAAGATCCTGGTTGCAGCCAGTGGGTCTTGCCAGGGGCTCAGGTTTCCCAAGGCAGGCAGATGCATTTGGTGGGAAGAGGGCATGGCTCAGGCAGGGAGGAGTGTCAAGGAGGCAAAACGGCATGCTTCTGGGAGGGTGTGAGGTGACAATCGGAAGGATGCCTTGGATGTGTGGCTGGTACATTGCTGGTGAAGATGGCAGCTGAGGCACTGGAAGTGTAGGCACCAGGGCAGGAGAGAAGTTTGGGCTGCTGCGTGGCAGGGCATGCGGTCTGCCAGAGCACTAGCAAGGGAGACGGCTTTGTGCGGTATAGGTGACAGAGGGAAGCGTCAGCGGAGAGCAGGCAGTCCAAGGTGCCTGACAGGGGAATAACATCAAGTGAGATATGGGTGAAAGCCTCCCTCAGAGGGGTAGCGTGTGTCTCGTCTACTCAGGAGCGGCCTCAGTGTGAGACTCGGAGGCCTGCAATTTCCTGTTTCTATGTTTGGGGTGATTTCCTGTCGAGGCTTCCGGCAGAAGCAGCAGGGCTGCATCACGCAGTGAGTCAGGCATCATGTGGGTGAGTGGTGCAGGGTTGTGCGGTGGGGTTGAGCCTGGCCCGCTTTCTGCGCTTTGTGTCTACAGGGGTGCTCGTGCAGGGGCCTAGAAGCCGTAAGCAGGACCCTCATCTGTGATTCTCAGCCTGAAGAGAGCCATGTGGGTGGGTGGAGCAGCTCGGTGCCTGGGCTGTCAGGGTAGCAGGGAGTTCTCTGTGCACTCTGTCACCCTAGACAATGAGGAGACGGCATGAGATATGTCAGCAGAGTGAGCTGGTGCAGCTGTGGCTGTGCAGCAGAGGCTTCTGATGGAGAAGGTGCAGAAGAAACCAGTGAAAGTGTGAGGATGGCGTGCCACAATGTTAGCAATGCCCACCACCTGTGCTTGCTAGAGCAGCGCAATAGATGCTAGTTTTTGGGGCTGACTGAGGGAAGGTTCCTGAGGCATGTAGGTATGGGATGCAGATGTGAGTGTCTCGTGCCAGACATCTGTAAAGGGAATGCCCATGACCAGAGCCTGTCTCCAGGGCTGGACAAGGAGTCTGGCCTGTAGTTGGCAACAGGCACCATGGGGCGAAGGCCAGGGGCATAGGTGCGAAGCATGAGGGGGTGGGCAAAGTGGTTCTGGGCAGGGCCGGGGGCTGCCTGCCTTGAAATTATGCCAGGAGCGGGACCTGAAAGTGGGTGTGGAAAGGGTCCCTGAGGGCACACAGTTCACAAGTGGTGCAGGAGGTACCTCTTTGTCCCGCAAGCAGTGTTACAGAGCAGGCAAAGGGGGGAGTTGCACAGAAGCCGTGTGATCTGTGCAGGCACATGCCCTGTGGGATTCCCGGCCGAGTGTCCTGTGTTATCATCCAAAGGGGGAACAGCTGAGGCCCCCTGCTTTGTGGTGCCCTAGGTCAGGAGGTCCCTTGAGTCCCTTCTGCATCTTGTTGAGATCTTTTGGGAGCTGAGGTGCTCCTGAAGTTGGAGAGAGGTGCAGAGTGGTGGGGCCTGCATCTGGGAGCCCCCCCGGGGAGGGTTGCATGCTGCCAGATAAGTGCAGGGGTCTGGTGAGGGCATCCCTGTGGCACTGTCCTCATTGTTGTGCCCTGAAGAGGGCTGTGGTTGTATCGTGTCTCCTAATGGCGGGCAGCCTCGCCAAACCACAGAATTCTTTCCGTCCTTCTCAGGCTGCAGTCATGCATGGGGGTTGCCCAGCAGCAGGCAGCGCCACAGAGGGTGCGCTCTCTGGAGCCTGAATGTGAGTGTGCTGCTGGGGTGGAGGCAAGGGGAAGGCAAGGTGATGATAAGCAGGGTGACAGGCTCCAGGGACAGCTGCGAGGTGTGTTGTAAGCATCACTGAGAGCATGTCTGGGTGCTGAGCTTTGTCATTGTCTCACAAGCCTGGTGGGTGAGCACACATTTAAGCAGGTGCCCGACAGAAGGGACAGCAGCCCACGGATTGGCTGAGCTGCAGAGCGTGCCAGTGTGCGGCTCTCGGGGCAGGGCACATGCAGTGACTCTGCGTGGGAGGGTGCGTGCCACGGCACATTGCTCATTCCTGGAAACGTGTCATTGTCTGTGGAGGCGAGGAGCCCAAGGTGAAGAAATGGAGGTACCACGTGTGTGGCAGCATGTCCTGGGGCGCGGTCTTGGCCTTGCGGATCCCTGGCACAGAGCAGCACAGGACGCGGGTAGCCTGGGGATAGGTACTCTGTCGGGGTGTGGAAACTGCTGAGCCCCGCACCTAGAAGACAGGGAGATGTTGTGCCATGTAATGGAAAGTCTTGTGGCCATAGCGTGCGGTCTGACAGGAGGCGTGAAGGAGAGCGAAAGCCCAGAAAAGAGCGGCACAGTCAGCGGGTGCCCGGGAGCCCTGAGAAGGGGGGCATATAGGGCCCAGGCTAAGAAAGCCAGGCTGTCAGTGGATGTTGGCCTGGGGGAGGTTTGGGAATGGCTGTCAGTGGTTGTCAAGGCAGGGGCAAGGAGGAGAGGTGGAGGCAGGACCCAAGACAGGTCAGTAAGAAAGGGGACGGCGGCAGGGGAGTCTCATAGCCTGGGACCTGAAAGTGCATATGGCAAGAAGCACGGGGCTCCTGGAAAAGACAAGCTGCACAGCACGCTTCCTGGGAGGAGAGGCAGACAAGGTGGCCAACAGAGCAGGGACATTAGTTGGCCTGTAAACTGTTCATGGCCAGAGATCACAGGAACTGTAGGGAGAGGCCACAGCGCAGGGGTCGGCAACCCCCAGTACACATGCATCTGGGCAGATGGCAGAGGTGGAGCTTGGGGCAGCGCAGCCCTGGCCCTTCCCCTGTCGCCTGGCTGGGCAGCTGTTACCAGCAATGAGAATCAGGCCCCCTGCAGTGACTCCACAGGGTTGGGGGTGGGTTTTGCTACTCTGGGCAAAAACATTGCCACTCCTGCCCTAGCAGGAACTCTGGGCAAGGAAAACCTCAGCCCTTGTGACTGACTCAGAGGGGAGCCCTCAGGGTCTCTCTTCTGCTGGGAGCTCAGGAAGGTTCCTTTGTGTGCGAGTGACTGAGAGTTACAGGGCTGTGGAGGACGGCTTGTTTGTGAGTGAGCAAGGCGATGGTGAGGAGGCAGGTGGTGCCAAGTAAAGTGGCATTGAGGAGGTGCTGTGACAGGAGAGCGTTGGGCTACAGGGGAAAGCAACCAGGGGAAAGAGCAGGCAGCAAGCCAGGAGGGACTCTAAGCAGGCAAGCATGGTGGACAGGAGGTAGCTTGGAGTTGGTGTGGGAGGGCCAGCATGGGCCAGTCCAGGCAAACCGTTGGCCCTGGTGCACAGGGCCCTGCGCAGCCTTGCTTGTCTGCTACAGGAGGGTGTGTGCATCTGGGAAATGTGGAGCGAACAGGAAGTGTCCCTGGATGAGGAAAGGCATGGATATAGCAAAGGGAGGAACGTGTGGAAGAGGAGGCCAAGGGACCAAGTGAGAGTAGATCTAGGCAAGGCGAGGATGCACCAGAGGAACAGGGCGGGCAGGTGGATGAGAAATGGGCTGGTTCAGTGGCTTTGCTGGGGAGCAGTGGCCTGCTTTGGGCCTGTGAGCAAGGTGCCCGATGCGGGGCCCTTACGGACCCAGCAGAGAACAGGGACGGCAGTGATGGTGTGAGATGACGGTCCAGTCCGCTCTGGGAGCTCAGAGTGCGAAATTGGAGTGGCCAGGTGGGGGTGAAAAGAAGAGGCTGGCACATGAGTCGAATGAGAAACCATGCTGAGGGAGGGCAGGCGGCGGAGGCAAGGCTGGGGTTATCATGCAACCGCCTGCACGCTGAGCGGCAGCATTGACATCTCACGGTGGCTTGCGTTCCCCCAGGTACGAATACCACTGGGCCGACGGCACCAACATCAAGAAGCCCATTAAGTGCTCAGCCCCAAAGTACATCGATTACTTGATGACATGGGTTCAGGACCAGCTGGATGACGAAACGCTCTTCCCGTCAAAGATCGGTAAACCTCTGGTGTCTCGGCAGCGCTTTTAGGCAGTGGCCTTGGGTGGAAGAAACAGGCCCAGGCTCTGGGGTTGGCGGGGCACAGGCGTGTCATGAGGGTGCAGTACAGTGTCCCGTAAGCAGTGCAGAATCGGTCATGGGAACCCAGGTTGGCGTGCCATGGCAGAGGGTCTCAGGCGAGTCCCTGCAGGGGAGCGGGTCCCAAGGGATGGGCTGCCTTTTTGGGACTGCTGATGCGGATAGTGCAGCACCTGAAGAAGTTGCATTCTGTGAGGGAGGGGAGCAGCAAGGTAGCCTGTCCTGCCAAATGGGCCAGGAGTACTGTAGATTTGGAGGAAGGACCATGTCTGCCGGCAAGGGGTAGGCAGCAGGGAATGGCTTGGAAATTGTGCCACAGGCAGTGCCTGCAGATTGTGTGCACGTGCAACGTCTGGCAGCAAGGCAGAGCAAGGGCCCAGTCAGCAGAGGAGGCGCCATCTGTGCTGCAGGTTGCTGCTCCCGCTGCTCGGTCCAGGGGTCTGTGGGAGAAGTGGAGCAGGTGACTGCCTGTTGCAGTCTGGGCTGAAGAGTCCTTCTGTGTGTGTGGGTGTAAGGAGAGCCTGGGTTGTCAGTGGGCCCCTGCGTGGCTATGGGATCTGTTGGCGATGCAGGGCTGTGATGGGGGAACCTGCTGGGGCTCTGGCAGGCAGCAGGCATGTTGCTGCAGGATGCATCCTTTCAGCTCTCGTCTGGCAGCGAGGGGTCAGAGGTCCTCCAGCAAGGCAAGGCAACGCTGGCAGGTTCTGGCTACCTAGCAGCATGTCAGGGGCAGACTGCCGTCAGTGCTGCAGCATGAATGGAGTCTGTGTAGTCCAGTGCTAAGAGAAGGGGTCTGGCCGTGGGTCCGGAGGCAAGGTGGGCTAGTGGGCATAGTATATGCATGGCACTCAGGGTGTTTGGCCTTGGCAGCCATGGTCCTTTGTGGGGCCCTGCCTGTGTTGGTGGCAAGAAAGCCGTAAGTGGGTGAGGACAGTAGGCTCCCTGGGCAGGAGCTCCTTGACAGATCAGCCAGGCTACTCGGGTGTGCGGTCACAGGCTGCCTGTCTGTGGTGTGTCTGCATGGCTGTGATGCCTCAGTGGGGAGTTGCTGTCTGCTTGATGCCCTGCTGGTGCACGCAGCCTTGTGAAGTTTCCTCAGGGACTTGGCAGGGTGGCAGCAATACCTAGCAGGGCACCCTGTGCTGTGGGGCATGTGTGTCGCTGGGATGGCGAGCGGGTTGCTCAGGGTAATGTTGGCCTGTGATGCAGGCATTGGTGGGTGTGTTCCCTGCGTCCTGTGGTGCAGCAGGTGGTTGGCACACTCCCGCCTGTGCAGGGGCATCCTTGGGCTGCAAGGGCAGCCTTAATGGAGAGTGGCATGCCCCCAGTGGCTTCTGGAGTGGGAGGGGCGGTATGTGAGGCGAGGGGTGGAAGCGGAGCCCCTCTGGCGGGCCTTGAGGGCCAGGCAGTCTGGGGAGTGGGACTGTGCAGCATCCTTGGAAGGGGTTTCTGCATGGCAGCCTGCCCAGGCTGTTTGGCAGCACGTGGGAGGACAGGCAAAGGCCTCTCCCTTGTTAGGAGTAGTGCCACCCTTGCAGTGCGGGCAGTCCCCCCAGGAGTGTCTTGCCCAGGCAACGTGTGGCGTAAGTGGCGTGGTCTGTGGGCTGGAAGTAGGTAGCGGCAATCCAACTGTAGAGAAGCAGGCCCTGGGGAGGTGATATTCGGGGGTGCATGTTGTGCCATGAGCGGCATCCCAAACGGGGTCAGTCTCAGGGGGCTCATTTGTGGGCCGTGCAGCTTGTGCAGGGCATTCCTCCTAGTGCCAGGGGAGGCTGGTGGCAAAGATGTGGAGGGTAACAGGCTCCCACTGTGTCGGGCAGGCCACATGCCATAGAGCAGAAGCATGTATGCACCCATGGGTAGAAGAAGCCGCAGCCGAGCGGTCAGTTCAGGACGGGCTACGTGCTGGGGAATCCTAGGCAGTCTGGCTGGGCCAGGGCAACAGCAGTCTCTGTACTCCTCAGCTAACTGTTGCCAGAGGAGCGATGGGCGACAAAGGTGTGGCCAGTGTCAGTGCGGGGGCAGAAGGCCTGTCTACCCTTGCAGGCACAAGGGTCGGGGCAGCCTCGCGTCTGTGTAGGCTTGCCTGAACCATGGTCTTTGGTGGTTCCTTGCAGGCGTCCCCTTCCCCAAGAACTTTATGTCAGTGGCAAAGACAATCCTGAAGCGACTGTTCCGGGTCTACGCCCACATCTACCACCAGCACTTTGATTCGGTGATGCAGCTCCAGGAGGAGGCCCACCTCAACACCTCCTTCAAGCACTTTATCTTCTTTGTGCAGGTGAGGGCAGGTGGTCAGAGGGAGCTGGGTGGGTGGAGCGTGCCATGGGCCTGCAGCTGTGGAGGGAAGAGGGTCTCCGGGTGGGAAAAGATGAATGTCCCGAAGCCATGGCAGGTGGCCTCCTGGGGAGCAGGTGGCCAGAGCAATGTGGCCGGGGCTGTCACAAGGGCGGAAAGGAGGAGGCAGGGAAGCACTCCGTGTCACAGTGCAGTGAGGGATACATGGCAGTAATTGAGTGTGCTTGCCATGGCCTGTGGCCTCTTGTAGTGGCAGGCTGGGAGAGTGGTGAAGGGGCAGGATGGCAAAGGGCAAGGGTGTAGTTAGAAGTGGGGGGTGGGCCCCCTTTGGGGGTCCTGAGTGCATCCAAAAGCACTGGAGGAAGGGACCGGGGTGGCAGTCTGGTGCATCTGGCAGCCTGTGACACTGTAGGTTGTGAGGAAGCCAAGGGGTGTGTAGAGAGGGGCAGGGTGTGCTGTGGACAAAGGGAGGCTGTGTAGACAGAGCGCGTGGGGGTGGCACGGCTTTCCCAAGTCACCAAGGCTCTTGTTGCAGAGCGGTCAGCTCACCTAGCATCTCTGATCTCTGGCAGGAGTTCAATCTGATCGACAGGCGGGAGTTGGCTCCGCTGCAGGAGCTCATTGAGAAGCTGGGCTCCAAGGACAGATAGGCCCGTCCCGGCCAACCGTGGCCCGCTGCGGGACTCGGCCACTCCCTTTCGCTTCCTCTCCCGGCCACAGCTCTTTGCTGGCCACTCTGTCTGCGACACCACCAGCCTTGAAGCCGGGCCTGGTTGGCAGAAAGCGGAGATTTGCTCGGCGGACCGGCACATCAGAGGCGGGGGAGATTGTTTTGTGACAAGGCCTTGGGCTGCCAAAGCCTGGCTGCGTGCCGTTGGAGACTGCCCGGCAGGTCTAGCGCCTCTCCCGAGCAAGGCAGCGCCCTGTCTTTGGACCTCTGTGATGGATCGGCTTCCTTGCCAGCCTTGGCTGTGCAGTCCTGCCAGTGCTGGGCCTTTCTCTCTGCTGACCCTGTCCTGTGGGATGGGAACCTTTGAGTATGCAAGTAAAGTTTTGATATTCTCTTAACCTGTGGTCCTGTGCTGTGTCCATGTTGAGGCAAGCGTGCTTACTGGCAGCGGGAGGAAGCTGGCCGAATAGGGAAGTGACTGTAACACAGGACTGGGGGTGGGGGGCGGCTGTGAACGGGTGAGCTGATTTTATAGGGATGGCAGTGGGAAGCTGATGGGGTGGTGTAGCAGCATCTGCACTGGCCTTGGGGGAATGTGATGCAGGTGGGCGGGAGATCCTGGGCGTGTGTGTGGGCAGCAGTAGGGTGCTGTCTGGGGCATCAGGGTCCAAATGGTTGTAGCTGAAAGGTAGTTGTGGTGTCCTGGCTGGGAATACAGGCTTGCTTTGTGTGGAGAGAGAAGCAGGGCGAGGGAGCACGGAGGCACTTTGGCATGCCAGGCAGAGACCCGGGGGCAGGCAGTGGCATTTGCCAGGAGGGAAGGGCTGTGCCTGGCCAGGTGGGTGGCATGCACTGTTCTGGCAGTGGCCTGGAGTGGGGTAAGGGACAGCTGCTGCTCTTTCAGGGCAAGTGATGTGTGTTGTGATGGTGTGGCTGCCTCTGGGTTGTAGGTGGTGTGCTGGGTGGTGGTTTGGGGTTAGTGGGTAGGTGTGGGGATCTTTGGCAAACGGGAGGGAGGCAGCACGTGAAAGATCTGGAGGCAGAGTGCAAGAGTGAGACAGCAAGGCATGTGTGAGCTAGTGCAGCCTCCTCGCTCTGGGTCAAGG